TTAACTGTAAGCATTCAACCAGAAACTACTGATCCTACAAACCCGACTTCAAGGTCTGCGCTGGGGGAACCTAATGGCTATGAAGGAAAAATAAACTAGAGCGAACGGGACAGTCTCCAACGGGCAAGAATCATGAAACAATCTCCCTATCTTAGATCACCAAAACTAAGTCTGCAAAAAAAGAAGGTGCTTTAGACACTAACGTCTTTGGCGTAATATTAGAAGTTGGAAAAGAGCTTAACAACTAGCTCTAAAGCTTTACACATTGTAGCTTTCCTCCTGATCAGTATGGTGCAATAATAACAGGCCAGAGGATATCACTCTGAGATATTGAGGCAGTCACGTTTGCTGGAAGCTTTAGTCAAGAAAGAGACGTCGAGCTACTTTGCCAACAAATACATTTAAACTTGAGAAAGTTGACAAAAAACAGCTTTTAGGGGTTTTCTATGCTTTTTAGCATACTTATATTTTTTTCACTTTTGACCAAATAAACAGTATAGATTCCGTACAAATATGTTTTTAATAAAAAAATTTTTGTACTGAAATTCGTCAGAAATAGATGTAAAATTTTTAACTAAAAACATTTAACATTACATGTCAGCACACGACGGTGTTCCATTCAGTAAATCTTGGGCGAAGCGGGAGGGAGGCCGCTTGAATGTTATAAATAAGATACGTCTATACTAGCAAAGAGCCAAGAACAATTGCGCTCGGAGCTCCGCTAATCGCTATTACAACACATTTACCATGTATACTACTGAAAAAAAATTACTTCAAACGCTTCAAATAATTAAAAGTTTCATTGAACCTCAGTAATTCTCGAACAATTCAATTAATTAATCGTTGCATACGGCGAGTGCTTTGGCTCTACCGTAACAGATATAAAGTAAAAAAAATTAATGGTTTCGAAAACCAAACAATAAAGCTTTTCACTTGTTTACTAATACTTGAATTATAACAATAAAAATAAGAATAAGCTATGAAACTTAAAAGTTACACAAAACAGAAAACCGAATAAGGACAGCAGAGGTTTTGAAAATCAAATTAAATATTACAACAGAAAGCTCTAAGAAGTAGGTTTTAAAACTTCCACAGATTACTGTTTCACTATTGACGAAGTATTTTTAAAAAGCTGTAGAAATACATATTGGAACAATCATAATTTAGCTCTACTTATTTAGTTAAATCTATTAGTATTAAGCCAGTGGACAGTAGGTGCTTGAGTACCCAAGTAAGAAGTTATACCTTTATAAAATTCTATGGCAGATAATATAGTTATGAATATAAATTCACCTTCTATGAATATTGCGTACGAAAATGGTGCAATTGTCGTTGGAAAGAGTATACCTACGTTAATTGGGTATAGTTTCAACAAATATTTTAATATTTAATAAGGTAACGATTACAAACAATATATTTCAGCACAATACAATTAAAATAATATATAGGCTGGCCAGTACAAGACTGTGTGCTTTCATGGAATTTTCTGGTTATTTAAAAACAACTTCCTACTGCCTACGCTGATTACATCTGTAACGTGACGCTCACATCTATCGCATACGACCCCACTCTTATTCCTCGTCCATATGTAATACCCAAAATATAATTGTATACAATAATTTAGGAAAAACCATCCTGTAGTATGGCATTATTGAATACGGTAGTATTACATGCCAGTGAATGTCCTTTCAGGACGCTCATCACATATAGATTTTTTGACAGATATTATTCAAACGGCAAACGTATATTGGAATAGCATAAAAAATATCTTTAAAAATTGCAGTTCGTTTGACTGTACCATTATTTTATACATGTTACATTTCAAAAAATCGATATTTAACGTGTAACTTTATAAAAAAATTACGTTAAATTGGCATTTATACGATTTGTAGAAATTTCCTAAATTTTTGAGTACAAGAGACTACTTTTAGATAAACCTATCGAATTTTCAAATAGATCCACAAGTTGGTTTTCAAATAAATTCAGAAAGAGGGGATGAAGTGTGCGTAAAAGCATGTATGTGAGTACATTCACATGAGAAAAACAATTTCTAGCTTTACTACACACATTAACGTTCCTGTCATTTCTCTTCCTCTAAACTTGAATGGAATCATTGTTAAAGAATGAATTGAGTGGAATGGAAATCATGAATGGAAAAATTGTTAAAGAATGAAACAGAATAAAAATTAATTATTGTATTTGTATAGTACAGAAAAATTTTTTTTCAATTTTTGAAAATTTTGAAAAAATATAAAAAATTGTGTAAACAATTTTTCATTTATTTTAAAAGTAACAAATTAATGATGAGAAAAGAAATGTTTATTATTACATAATATAAAAGCTGCTCTGCTAATATATACTAATTTCAAAATTTTCGAAGCATGTACCTAAAAACTAAATTTCATTAAATAAATTATCTATTGATGTAATGTACAATTAAACCAAACGAATGAATACACAGTAAATAAGAATTTGCATTAAAAATAAGCAACAAACTGTACGAAACAAAAAAACGAAGTAATCGAGTTTTTTATGTTGGGCACGCTCGTAGCAGAGTGAGTAAGGGCCATGACCAGCGTGCGGACGATCGGGGGTTAAAATCTCTTTTTGAACTTTTTTTTTCTTTTTTTTTCAATTATGTTGGTTAATTATTCGGGAAAAATGATTAGATATTGATGTTAATCAATGTGTAACAATAAAATTACGAGCTGCTTGCAGTGAAATCGTATAACGCTCTCCATCTAAAAAAAAGAGTTACTGCTCGAGCCCAAGACACACAAGTATTCAAAACCATTAAAAGTGTTTTCGTGGTATCGCAAATATTATTAAAAATTGTGATATCATATTATAGTAAAATTGTAAAGCTGTTATACATTTATAAAACGCAATTTTCATGTTGAAAAGAAAAATTTATGCTTAGCGACTCACTAATTAAGCACATATCCAGTACAGCTTTTAACGTATTGTAAAGCCTACCTCTACCACCGTATCCTTTTTTCAATTTCTTTTTTTTTTCATAGTATACGAGTTTTCTTCTGTGAGCCTCTTTAAAGCTCAGACGATTCAGTTATATATCTTTTTGGGTAATATTTACTAAGCTGCAGTGGACTCTCAAGCTCACCGCATGTTTTATGCTGGTTGACTCAAAGCTTTAGATATCAAGATCTGAGTGTAGAGCCATTCAATGAATTACAAAAAGCAACACCAATCAGTTAGTATAAAGAGGGTCGAAATTTAGGGATACTATGCAAAAAATTAGCTTTATCAAATTTTGTTAACTTTTAACATAGTGCGTTATATATATTCCAGTCATGTTAGGATATTTTAATCAACTATGCCAAATAGTTATTGCTATTTGGTTGGTTTCTAAATTTGTAAGCACGAATTTCTTAAGGAATAAATTACAATAACATTGAAAAATTGATTGAGTAAAGATAAAATTTCATAGAAAAAATCAGTTGTGTAAGGAAAATATGACAGAAATTATAACAGTTGAAAAGTTGTTAGCTAATAAAATGTTTAAATACGTACTCCAACAATGCTAATGTCATTAAGTTGAAGTGAAGTGTCCAAAAAAATTACTGAATAGAACGCAATTTCTGACAAAAAGTTTGCTAATAGAAGATACACACACAATTGCCCATAAAATAAGAAAAACTAGGGAACATATGCTTATTAACTACTATGGTGAAAGAGAAAATTCAATTGTAGTAGGTGTTTGTAAATCTCCATTTAAATCCTGAAGCGCAGTTTTATACGAAGAATACCAATACTTAAACTATTATTCTTCTTGTCTAAAACTAACACACTCTGTAGCTGTTATTAAGTTTAATCAAAAAGATCTTTTTCATTAGTCATCTGACTCGTTTTACTGACTTTTCGAAATTGATAGAGATTTTACTGACAAGCTGGTAATGTAATGAATTTCCACGGAAAAAAGGCCTAAAGGTTCTAGACATCATGTGAAAAATCTGTTGAGTGTTCTCATAACTTTATAAGTTGACTTTCAGCACTCTGAGTACTAAGCTTTTTGAAAACGTCTGAGAAAATATCATAAAATTCGTCAATGAGATTTAAACTTGTAACTCCTTAAATTACTCTAGCTATGAGGTCAGCATAATGATTGCTAAGCTATCAAACCTCTAACATGATTTCTTGTTCATTTATAACATGCAGTGACTTAAATGGTTAACAACATTTTTACCTCTACTTATTCGAGATGAGAACTACTAGTCCTCCTTAGCGTATTTTATCTGAACTCGAGTTTGACCCATTTGACAATGATTCGAAAATATGAAAAATGTCAGAAAAATTTAATTTTTGTTTTGTAGTATATTTAACTAAGTAATGTTAAAAAAAAAAAACCTAAAAAGACTTGGATCCAACATATTTAGTTATACTACAGCTTTATATCTAATTGTATTTACGATCATCCGATTTTAAAAATTTATGTGAGATTTCTGTATAAAGACATTTTCTTTGAGAACAGTTAGAATACACCATTTATAAACATCCGTTATAAGTAAATTGTTCTTACAACATTACTTGGTTTAAAAAATACTAAAAAACAGAAATTAAATTTTACTTTGCCAGTTTTTCTATTTTTAAATCATTAATGGATGGGCCCAACTCAAACTCAAACAAAATACGCTAAGGAGGCTAGTAGTTGGTTTTTATTTCGAATAATTTACTTTCTTATACTTTTCTTACTCACTTTTTTTATTAATTGTTCAGATTCGATTAAGTCAAGCTATTAAATAGTAATGTTGGCTCAGAATTGAAAATTACAGATTGATTTTTACAATAGTTTTGCGCTCGTCTTAAATTTATTTTATAAGGACAATTTAACCTAATCGTAGAAGTTTTTTGAGTTTAGACTACTGACTCTGATTCACAGTGATTTATTATTTCAAGGTTTATCTTGATGAAAATTATTTGACAAAACAGATTTAACAAAATGTTCATACTTAGTTTCACGTTTTTTTTTTTTTTTTTCATAGGGAGGTGACTTATTTGATGCCATAGCTTCAGCTGTAAGATTTTCAGAAGAAGACGCAAGTATAATGGTCAGTCATTTGTGTCATGCTTTAGCCTATTTACATTCTCATGATATTGTTCATCGGGATGTAAAGCCAGAGAATCTGTTAGTTCAGATTAGTGATCAAAGAATACAGTGTCTTAAACTAGCTGATTTTGGACTTGCCCAAATTGTTACGGAGCCATTATATACTGTATGTGGAACACCAACCTACGTAGCACCGGAAATACTTGCAGAAGTTGGATACGGCCTAAAAGTTTGTGTATATTTTTTCATACAATGATTGAAACTTTTATAAATTTAAAATACTCTTTTTAATACTTTACTTACCTACTTGAGTTTCTGAAGTCTCTTAAAAAGGTATTAAAGTTATGCATGAGGTAGCTACTAATTTAAGGAATAATGGAACCGTCAAATGTTAACGCTGAAAGTGAAGTACACGTAAGAATAAAAATTTTTTACGACCAAATCAGAGATTGAATAATTAACAACTTTCTTTTTACAGGTTATAAACCTGAAAACATCAAGAAAATCTAGTGAAGGTACTAAGTTATGAATTTTCACTCTTATAAATATACGCTAGTTCACAGAAGGCATGCATTCCCTAATTGTTATGCTATTTTCTTCGATATACTGTTTTTTAAATCATTATTTTTACTATTTTAATTTTATTTTTCAACTTTGAAGATATAGAAATATATTAGGTAGTGTAATTTGACGAGTTCATCCTTCAGTAGTTATTAATTTGTCAATGAGTTGGATTTACGATAAAGTAATAATTTTGTAACCGTAAAAATAATCCTGATAATTACGAATAATTATTTTACTTCTTTCAATGGTATTTGTTATTTATTTTGTATTCCAACTAACTTGTGATGCTAGTTTTAAAAAAACATATTTAAACTGAATAAGTTCCCTTTTTCAAAGCAACTAAAAAAGAAACTGTGTTTTTGTTTAGCAAAAATTAATTTCTTTTAAATTTATTTCTTAAGGATATAAATAAGTTTGGTGAAAATAAACCAAATACACATACTGATGTAGCTTTTCCTTACTTAACGTGTACTCCACTCGCATATAATAAGATAATAATTTTTATTGTGCTTTCGTTTTAGATTTTAATATAAATTATTTCCAAATTTTGGTTATTTTTCTGTGGGCACCTAAGTCTAGAGCTTCGTCAGCGTGTAATATTTCAACTATTTTACTTTTTGTGACTCTTCACTCGAAGTTTGTAACTACATTAAATGCTATTTTTAACAAAGATGTTCTTGTCTATAAGTGTTGATGCTCTTGAATGATTGTAATTTAATGTTTCCAAGCCAATACAGACGAGTCATAATATAAGAACAAGCGAATTTCATTTGTCACATCTACACAAAATGTTTATGCATACGGTAGGTATGTGCAATACCAAGAAATTCAACGATACTTCTAATCTCTCCTTAAAATTCTCAGATCTCAGTCTCAAAATTTTTTTAAAAGTCTAGTCTCATCTCGATCTTGTCTCGAAGTATCAAAAAAATATATGTGTAGTTTTTTCAATCCCTATCTGCGTCACTAAAGGTTTTACGCATTCAGCATACATACGCGAGACAAAAGTTAAGTCTTTTTAACACTGTAATAACTGCGAAAATTACAAAAAAATCTTCAAGAAATATTAGAGACTCTAAAAAAAAGTCTCGGGGGAAACTTTTTTTTGTTAAGACCGTGATGTTTTGGAAAATTAAAAAAAAATTCGTAACACTCTTTTATTGAAATAAGGTTAGATTAACTCCGTTGTTTATTTTATTTTCCTGATCTTGCAAAAAAAAGTATTAATACTGTCTGACTTCAATCTCATAAAACTACATATTTGTAAATACACAAATTAATTTTTTTAAACATTTTAATTAGTTTCCTTCGAGGACTGGCAAGGTCAAAACAAATTAATTTTTCCCAAGTGACAGAGGAATTTAACCTTTTTTATCCGCAAAATAGGAGTCAGAAGGTCTTTGTTTTATGTGTATGTGTGTGTGCGTGCGTGCGCGCGCACGTGTGCGTGTATGTGTCAGTAATTTTGTAACGTACAAGCAATGTAGTCATTAATTAAGGATCAAGCACTACTATTAGATGTAAAAAATTTACCTTTTAAACTGAACATTTTTGTTTCTATAGTTGCTCTCACTTCTTTATAAATAAAATTTCAGAATGATCAGATTATAGTGCTATTTGGTTTTCATGAATTTTTATTAATCATTGAAAATACTGTAGCTATTTTTGAGGCTGTTTAAAATTTATAAGTGGTTTAGATTGATCTTCATTATTCTTGATTGATTCTAAACTTTTGTTTATTCAATGAATTACTTTACAAACAGTTCGTGAGATACTCATAAGAGGTTATACTTTCCATAGACAGCCAAATCGGTTTTAGAACTCTTGGAACAGTCAGTTCTTTTTGAGTGTAGTATATCGTCTTTTTTTATGAAAACATTCATAGATACATGATTTTTTCATAGCAAGGGTTAACTGTGCTGAATAGTTTTTAAACCTCTTTTATCATTACAAGGATTGTATTAAATTTACAGGTGAGAAAGAGATCAGAAGGTTTTTTTTCCAATAACTAGAGTTCTAATCTCAGTGTGAGACTAGTCTTAGACTTCTTACAGAAAACTTTCTTCAACCAGGAAATTATTAAATTCCTTTTTTAGAACCCCATTCACTTTATCTTATTTAAAAAGACAATTTTTATTCATCCTTATTTTTCTAATAGATGTTTCTAATTCCGAGTTAGTTAGTTGCTACTGATTCTTCTGCATGTGTGAGTATGTCCAGGATTAGTTTACTTTGCAGATCAATTGAATTTTCAGAAAGCTACGTTAGCTAATAAGCAAAGAGTATGATTTCAGTGGATGAATTTATGTTTATGTGGACTTCTTGTTTTAAGTATGAAATTATACCGTACCAAAGTTTGTCTTTTCATTTGCTGGAATTACAGTTGAGTTTCTTAACTTTAGGTTCCATATATTATTATTTACCTTTGGAACTGATTGCGTTAAAAAGCTCGTCGTTTCTCAAGGGTACAATAAAAACTTTCTTTGGAAGTGGGAAGATACGAACTTTACGTTGTACAAATTAAGTACTCAAGGAGCTCTCCCACATGAGCTTTACAATTGTGCAGATTCAAAAGGCAACTGTGAGTAGCACGAATGAGCTAAACTGATTGTGGCTCTGACAGGTAGATGGTTGGATTAACTTATATTTAGTACGTTAAAGTCAACGAGATAAAATTCTTGAGCTATTTGTCCGTTGTGGCCAATAAAAGTTAGAATACCACGTGGGTAAGAAATGCTTCTGCCGTTTAATAATGGTAGTCCCAAACTAACTATCGCCTTGTTAAGAAGCTGCTCCTGCTTTGTCTCAATATCATTGGTAGAGCGTCTAGATCTGGCAAAGCAGTCTGATTTTAGATATACACTGGTTATAAAAAAAATTTGTTGTTTTATATCATGCACTTAGCTTCTACAAAAAATCTACTAGCTATTGCTTTAAAGATGTTACCAATAGATTGCTAACAAATTTACATAATAAGCTACCGCTTGCCCTGTCCAGAGTTTTGACTTTTTGAGTTGGCGATGATGCTACTACTGGGTAGGAACTCAGGGGTGATAGAATTATTATTGCTCATCCACGTTTCTGAGATATTTAAAAGAGCATAGTAGTGTGAGTTTGATGTGATTTCCTTATTGGTTACATTAGAAATTTCGAAGTAGCTGTAGGTATTCTAAAATATAGAATAGATGTGGTTGGGTGGAAGGGTAGACGAGGCACTGGTATGCTCATACAATTTATTGATGACAAGTTAAGGTGGTAATTGAAGCAAAGGAGCCACAGTTAAGTGACTGGCAGGTCAACGATTCGATCGTAGCAGATCCGAAATTTTGGACATCTGCACTGAGTGTATTTGGTCTTACACAGCTCAACTCTACGTGTTGTACACATTTGAGCTTCTTGATTATTATAAAAGGGTATGTCTAGCGTTAATGAGACCTTAAACTCCCTTCTATATTGGAGCTTTGCTGTCATCAAAAACTTTTGGATGGCTAATTTTTACAATTTTGCCCTTGGATTTCTTCTCAGCAAAAATATCAATGATTTCTTCTTTTCTTTTATGCTTCCTCTTAGTAAGTTCTCCAGAGATAGACTAAGCACTGTCAGCTAGTCTTTTCTCTTGAAGCAGGATAAAATACTTCTTTCCTTGCGTAGTTACTTTGATTATAAAGATGTCATTACTTCCGTTGTTTCCGATTATTATAGGCCGCTAGTAACTTAGGTAAGATGTCAATCCACTTATATCTGCCACGCAAGCTGAAATTTTTTCACATATCATGCTTTAGTGTGCGATTAAATCGCTCACATACAGACGCTTTAAGGTTACTATAAGTGGAGTACAAGTTAATTTTATTCTTTTGCATGAGACTTTGAAAATTCACATTGTAAAACTCTTTGCCATGTTCTGTTTGCAAATTAGTTGGAACTTTTCCCTCTGTTAATATCGACTTCATAGCTGCAGTCACATCTTTACCGGTTTTATTCTCCACGGGCACAGCCCATGCATACTTGGGGAGTACATCTATAGCTGTAAGCAAATACTTATAACCTTTATTTTCATGAGCATAAAGTATCATCTCCACAAGATCAGCTTGCTATGTTTCATTCAAGCCTCGAATATCAAACTTTCGGCGAAGGTAGTTGCGTCTCGCAGGTTTATGAAGCTCTTCTACTACTGCTTCCATCTCTCTTAACTGTCTTCTGGAGTTATACTAGATATATGTGCTACAATCTCCTTAACTGTATTTATTTCACGCTGCAAATTTAGTATTGTTTCTGAGAATACATCACTTAAATTGCTTAATAGTAGATTTATTTTCTCTCGTTCATCCAATATGAAACTTTTTTCTTTCTGTAAAGTAGTGAGATTTACAGCATCGTGAGGTTGAATAGCTGGTGCAACATTGCACAACCTTTCATTTTCCAAGTCAAATTGACCATCCGTGGTGAGATTATATCCAATTCCTCGAGGACCTCGACTACCACCTTCTGACTTAGCTGATTCACGTCCGAATACGTCTATGCTCATTTTGACACTGAAGTAGAATTAATAACGATGCTCAATATATGATATTAGCTTCACAAAGCTCCTCAACGATTGAATTCATTTCATTAGTGTGATTAGGATTACTAGCTGATTTTTCTGCCACTAGTAATCTTAGCCAACGG